TGTTGCTGCCGCTGCCGGTCGCCGTGCGGACGCGGGTAAGTGCCTGCGGGGCCCACGCGGGGAACAGAGCCCCCCGGCCGGCCCCTGCTGCCCCACAGGAGCCCGCCTTGCGCCCCCCGGTCCGGCCTGTGCTGCCCGGCAGGAGCCGGCCCCCCTGGCCCCCAGGTCTGGGCCCTGCTGCCCAAGAGCCCCCGTGCCAGCCAGCCACACCGGGCCCTGCCCAGGCTTGCTGGGCACCCAGCCTGCTCGCCCGCTTCGTGTGGGGCTGTGCCCCAGGCACCCTGTGCAGCACTGGCCACCCGGTCCGCCCTGGCCACAGCATCTCCTTTGCCACCGGAGCAGTGCCCAGCCCCTGCCGAGGCAGTTCCCACCGTGGGCTGAAGCAGATGCCGCCTGCCACCTCGTCCCTGGAGCATTTCTGTGCAGCTCAGTTAGCTCCTCAGTCCCAGATCTGGAACGTGTCTTGCAGGTTTCGCTCCCAAATGATCTCCAGCCACTGGTGCTAGGAGCTGAACTTGCAGAAGGAGCTCTGTGCCAACCTCTGCTCATCCTGAGGGTTGTGCTGCTGCCAGGACCTGCGGCTCCCACGGACCCAACCCATCTTGTGAATCAGATGCAATTCTTTTTGGGCCAAAGATAAATATATGCATAACCGGCCTGCACATTTAGAACTGTGTCTTGCATTATCTAGTAATGGTGGCAGCGGGGCAGCGGACTGAGAGAGAGGACTTCTGGGCTCTCCGGCTCGTCCTGCTGCTGAGGCTCTGAGATACTTTAAGGAGCGTTGCTGAGTGGCGTTCTTCAGCAGCGGTGCAGTCGGAAGCGGTGCGCTGTGTGCTGTGCAGTGATTGCAACAGGGTTTCAAATGCAATATCCTCCAGTTCACATCCATCTTACTCCAGTGATGGCGATGGCACAACTCCTTTGCTGTCAGTGGAGTTATACCAGCATAAAACTGCAATAACCCAGCGTAGAGTTTGGTCTTTAATGTCTTGTAGCCTTCTTGGCAAAATGTCAAAGCCCAGTTTACAGTATTTTAGGCTACTAGAGCTTTAGAGTCTATTCTAATGCTAAAAACAGTCTTCTGAGTGACCTGTATTTGTCAGTGTATTTTAAACTACAAGCAAATGCCATGCATGTTTATAAACGAAATTGCCAGCCATTCTGGTTTATGTGTCTAAGTAATAATCAGCCCCGCTTTCAGTTGAATGCTGGTGCTTTATAGAAAGGGGAATTCCTCACTGCTAGGCACTACTTTGATCAATATTAGGAAAGATAATTTCCCTAAAAAAATAAGTATGTCTTCAGTTTTCCAGGATTTGTAGGAATATTGTGTCATCGGTCTAATCTGGGAAATTACACTATTTCACAATGGGAGGGTAACATTTCCGTCAGTGACTGCTTTTTCAGCTCTCATTGAGAAGGCAAATAGATCACTGTGTTTCCTATCAACTCTGCAGAAACACCAAGGAAACATTCTGTGACTGTTCCCATAAATCACAGGTAGATATAGGTTAGGTACAGATATATATTTAATTTCAGATCTTTGGTTGTTTGAATTGGCTGTGGTTGTTGGAGTTAATTCATAAGCATGGTTGTATTTTTGAACTTCACATAAATTATTTACTCGCCACTCTACAAAACCAGTGTTTCTTCTGTATTGTGAATTTTATTCACTTAGGGTTGTTTATCTGTCTTTCATAGTGGCAACAGATTAACCACAGTCACTTCTAGCACTTAGTTACTGTGGTACAGCATAAATTGCATCATGAGCTCACCTCATATTTCTTAAGGGAAGAGACTTAAAGAGGATCTGTCTGATATCTTTTAGTCTCTGAAGAAATATTTTTTTCAAAACTTCTGCTGTAATTAATCTTCTGGAAACCTGAAGGAAAAAAATTCAAATTACTTACAAAGGCTGTTTTCTGGTTCTTAAGCTTCTCAACAAAATGAAGGAAAACACACCCCTATTTATAAATATCACCTTACAGCAATTTTTAAATGTCACTGTAACACCATTTATTTTTGCCATAAAGTCCCATTTGTTGTATTAGAATAAAATCCTATAAACACATACTCTAAATATGAGCAAATTCTGAGCTACAGAACACTGACTTAAGCCTTAAAACACTGTTTACTGTTGGCTAATGAATGCTTGCTTCTCCTAACAGTTTTGAAAGTAGAAACCAAGGAAGGCTGAGTTACAGTAATGTCTGATCAACAGTACAAAAAGACATGTTGCAACGTTTCTAATCTAGGGATTCCCCTTAGTAGGTAAGCATAGTATGATTTGGGAAAGTAATTAATTACCTCTAATGTGCTTAGTCACCAAAAAAAAAAAAGGTAAAAGAGTTTTACTTTAAGAGTTACTTTAAAAAGTTAAGAACTTCTAAATTACTCAGCAATATAGTTTCTGGGCTCAGATGTGTTACTGAACACACGCCTAAGACTTGTGAATTTCAAACGAGCTAATCGTCCACGCCGGGAAATTTGGCCATCCATTTAAAAATGATTTACTCAAAATAGAAATGCCGAAATCTACAAACACTATTAAAAATTCTTGGCTTCTGGATGAGAAATCTGCTTACCTCGACTGCCAAGAGGTCATTGCACACTGCAAACCATGTACTTACCTAGTTGGGGAAGGTTTGTTTTTCGCACACCCTACATTTTGTGGGGGTGCATTAGAACAAACAGTGGTCAAAAAGATCTTTTTATGCAAGTGACTTCAGAACAAGGTTTAAAAGTACAAGTTTAAATCCTCATGTCTCTGCTACCTATTTCAGCATAACTTGTTAAGCTACAGGCAATGGAGTGTTTGGGCCCCTTCTAAGAGCTGCCAATGTGTTTCTTACCTTTAAGAATAATTTTCTATGCTTAAATGTTTCTTCCATTATGTTGCAGGAGGCCAAATGTGCATATATCATCATCATCATGGCTGTGTACTGGTGCACTGAAGTGATCCCACTGGCTGTTACCTCCCTCATGCCTGTGGTATTTTTCCCTCTGCTTGGAGTCCAGAGCTCTAAATCCGTAAGGAACTCCCTCAATCCAGATCTGATACAGGGATATCCATTGCTCTGATCCCCAATCAATATTTAGCAAACAAGGCTGATAGGAAAGCGCTCCAGTTCTGTGGTGCTGGTTTTGACCACGTTGAGCCATGTTCAGGGTTCCTGTATGGGAAGATGCTGAACTAAATACACATTTGCCCAAAATGTTAAGGGTCTGGGGCTTGAGGTGATAGAGGGGAAGGTCCGTTTCTGGGCATGGATCCCACTGGAATGCATCCCACTAGTGCCAGCAGCTTGTGTGTTCATAACCCATCCCATGAGAGAGCAGTGCTGCCATATCCTCTGGGAGATTTCAAAATGCATGGGACAAACTTCTGACAGCGTAGACAGCGTGACGCCAGCAAGTACACTGTGTCCCCTCCAGAGCTCATTCTGGCGGTTTGTGCTCATGCTTTAGACAAGGGAGAGAGCCTGTATTTAGGTACTGTAGCCCCGGGTCACTGCTGGCCAACAAGCTGGTAAGCGCAGGTGAGGTTGCTAAAGGTGCTGAGAAATCCATTGTGGAGCTCAGCGTTTCTAGTACCTACACAATACTTTGAGCCCCTAACAACGTTTTAGGAAACTGCTGTCATTTTGTACTTTATTAACTCCTGATGATCCAAAAAGAAGGTTCATGACGCACAAAGAGCCCCTGCACTAGGCAGTTCAGCACTTAAACAGGGGATCAAGGGTTTGGGAAACTGGAGGTAGCTCTGAGGCTGCAGCTGCCCCTTCTGCCGGTGTTGGGATGGGGCCTGGTGCAGTAAATGGCTTTGAGAGGACGGAAGGCAAAATCTACTAGTGAAGCTAGCAAGAGGCAACAGTTGGGGGCCCCTGACGTACCTTCTCTGTCTTTCAGGTGTGCTTGCAGTACCTAAATGACACAAACATGCTCTTCGTTGGAGGGCTGATTGTTGCAATTTCGGTTGAACAGTGGAATCTTCACAAAAGGATTGCGCTGAGGGTCCTGCTGATTCTTGGGGTGAAACCTGCACTGTAAGAGTATTACATTACTTCTTCCTTGCCTGTGTCAATTTAGCAGAGGCCTAGGGACGGTGTTTAACAGTCAGCAGAGATGGGAACCTTCCAAGAACCTCTTTAGCTGCACTTGTACAGCATTTCCAGAGGTGAAGTCTGGCAGCAGGAACAGTTTGTTTGTCCTTTAGCCAAAACCAGCATCTGGCTCAATTCTAGGTGCTTTGGGGACAAATTGGGGACAAAATGATGACAGACTTAATCATGCGCAGACTAAGGAGCTAAATGGCTTTCTGGGATTCCTTCAGTGAAGGTGGCAGAGCTGTCCTAGAAGGGAATCTGGCCCTGTTTTGTATTACTGGCCGCTACACACATCCCTGTCTGGGCTCTACTCTCTAAATTACAGTGACTACAAAGCATAGCAGCGTTTGTTTTCTTTCCTCCTTTCTCCTCTGCCTGTTTCCCTCTTTTTAGCCTCATGCTGGGATTTATGATGGTCACTGCCTTCCTGTCCATGTGGATAAGTAACACAGCCACCACCGCTATGATGGTTCCCATTGTCCAGGCTGTCCTGGATCAAATGGACAACACAGAGCACGATGTGACCATGATGGAACAAGCAACTGGCCAAACAAATACAGTGATTGAGCTGGAGGAAAAGAATGCATCAGATCCCACTTCAGTGCATGGTAAGGGCCTACTCAGCAGTGAGTTGATTCTCCTGAACTTGCTATGCTCAGAGCTCCCTGACCTAGAAGGAGCTCTCTGTACCTTTTCCAAGGAAAGAGGATGGTAACCTGACTGAAAATCCCTAAATGCATGACATTTAGGTTTTACAAAATGGCTTCCATTTTGTAATGGGTGCCATTTTGTTATGCTTAGTGCTAGATCCCATGCAGGTTGTTATGTTCTTTCCTTCAAACTGGGGTCATCCTCCCATAGTTTCCCTAGACTTAACTGCCTGCTCAGGGAAGTGAAGAGCATATCCTGTGGGAAATATCATCCAACCCCCAGCATCCCATTTTCTAAATCTTGTGATTATCAGTGGGGATTCAGCTTCTAAGCCATGTAGGAATGTTCGAAAAATTTTGTGCAAACGCAACCAGTTTTGGTTCTAAGGTAATAAATATCTCTTTATTGACCAGATTGTATGTGGAGGTGGGGAGAAGAAGGAGGAATACTTAAAAAGCTACATGGAAAAGAGGAGCTGGTGTCATTTGACTCACAGTAGACAAACTACTCTTTGGAACACGTTAAAGCGTGATCTTAACCCTGATGCTTGACTCCACAAGGTCTTTCTGTCAATGCTGTGGTTCTGCAGTAGGTTTCACTTGATTTCAACCACGTACACAAACTCAGTCCCTCTGATTTCACTGTTCTGCTGTACTGTTACAGAGCGCTATGTTATTAAATACCATTAAAGATCAGAGCTGTGGTGCCTTTCTCTTTCAGAGGAGGAAGGATTGTCTTGGGTATTTTCATGGAGATGTGATTTCACTGAATTAGCAAGTAGATCTGCCACAATTCCCTGTGTGACTGTGTGCAAGAACGAGTGCAAATGTTGGTAGTGCATACTGTGTCCCACATTTCAAGCCTTCTGCCTGGGACACAGCACACTCACTTTCTGGCTAACAGGTCCATGGAAGACACAGCATAGAAGAAGGGTGTTTACGTGTGCCAGACATTGCTCAGTTATGAGATTGACTCATAACTGCCATATTTGTTTGGACCTTGGAGGCATAGTTTAGATACAACCGTGATCTCTGCTTTTTGGTTGCTTCATTTCTTACCTCACTTGTGAAGGGAGAATGCTCTATGACTGTGCAAAGCGCAGGCATCACGTTTATGTCAGGTGTGCAGGCCCACAAGAATGCCGCTGGGTCGCAGAGTGCTCTGTAAAGTTGCTCATTTCTAGCTTCCAAACAGTTGTATTAAAGATAAGTTTTCGTATTTGCAAATGCTCTTTTTAATGTTGATTCTTGACTCCCAAAACCAGACTTCTGCTCTAAGACCAGTAATAATAATTTTGCTGGTTTTCTGTCCACTTAGAAGGATCTGCTTGGCTTTGCTGACTGATTTGTTTTAACGTATAGCGAAGGTAAAAAATGTGTGCAAAAAATACCCTTTGCTATTGTCGAGTTGGTTGTAATTGCCACAAATTCATTGTCCTGCTCCATTGGTCCAGTCAGACTTCAAGATTAGGCTGTAAACTTCAGAGAATAATGGACACAGCAGCAAAATTTCACAGTTGATGTAAACTGACATAACATATTGATCTTAACAGTTATGCCAGGCAAGAATTTGGTTTTGGGTGGGGGGTTTTTCTGCCCATATTCACAGCTGTTAAAGCTAGTTGGGTTCTTACTGTGGTATTGGAATGGTTCCAGTGACTACAACATCTGGCTGGTGGTAAGCCTCTCTGTGAAACAGGGAATTATTGCTGAGAAACTGTGGCACCGATATGGACAACAGCATCCTTGGATCATGTAGACCCAGATTGTCAGCCTCTCTCTTCAGCTCCTCATGGACATGAGTCCAAAATATTTAGGGACATATCTGTGGTTTTTTGCATTAAAATAAATGGCGTACACAAACGGGGAGCACTGAGCCTGCAGACCCTGTCCTGAACTCTCTGCCTCCCTAACTTTACCTGAGGCAAGTCGTGTTCTTTGTGTCTAGTCATAAGCAATAGACAAGTCTCTGATGACCCCAGATCTTCTGAGGAAAAGAAAATGAGGAAGCGTGTATGTAAGGGAATGACTCTTTGTGTATGCTATGCTGCCAGCATTGGAGGAACTGCAACACTCACTGGAACAGGACCAAACATGGTATTGAAAGGCCAGATGAATCAGTAAGTCATTCTCGCTGTTTCTTTTACTTACTATCTTACTGTTTCTGTGACCAACTGACTAATCTTAGATGACAGTTTCAATTGCAAACTATAAGCAATAACCAGTTGATGAACTGAGAGTGAGGAATGTGTGTGAAGTGATGGGCCTCATTTTTCTGCTTCAGCCTTTTTTAGGCAGCTATGTGCTGGTATTATAGGTCTCCTGAGAAACTTGGAAATACTTGCTGGTAATCGGCAGAGGAATGAATGGGGAGGAAGAAAGAACGTCCTGTCTTGGGATAAATGAGCAGGCATGTTGGAAGTGAAAGGTACCTAGAATGTGTGGGAGATCTTTCAGCAGTGCTTGTCTTACTGAGACCTAAAATATCAACATGAGCTCCTACATGCATTAAAGGAAAATGCAGGGGAAACTGATGATCACTTAAGTCCTGCTCTGAAATCCAGGCTGCCTTCCTATTGACTTCAGTTAGGCTATGGATGTTGCCTATGATTACTTGTAATTGTTGTCCTAGATTTACATGTATAATTGTCACTAGCACATATTAAAGGGAGAGTAGATTACTAAATGTTTTGACATTCATACAGAAAGCATTTTTTCTTTTCAGGTTATACCCCAACAATAATGATATTGTGAATTTTGCTTCCTGGTTTGGGTTTGCATTCCCAAACATGATTCTGATGTTGGTACTAGCTTGGCTTTGGCTACAGTGCTCCTTCATGGGACTCAAGTGAGTATTTAACTACATGATATTGTGTAAACCCCGCAGCTAATGCAGGTCAGCTTACTGAGAAATCTGGATAAACCAAATGCACTGACAAGTTACTGATTTTGTATCAGAGAGCAGTTCCATTTCACAGCAACTTTGGAGATCTGGAAACCTTTTGTGTTCATGGGAGTTGCATTAAGGCAAAAGCTTTACACATTCTTAATGTTCAGACAGAATTGCGTTTTTATTTTTCAATTTCACATCTGAGAATTTCAGCCCTAGGAGAGCTAGCATATCAGTTTTGCTACCCTTGATTCAAAACTGAGTTTTTCATCCCAGGTTGCTCCAAATTGGACAGAGACTTACGTCCATTCATAGACCGCATTCTTCTGTGAGAACTGGCATGTCCCCATGAAATACCTTGACACTGTTGTCATTTCTTTGTTCCTGGCCTCTGCTGTAGTCTGTGTCTCTCCCCAGGAGTGACAGCTTCAGAGTGGCAAGCATGTTAAATCCCTCTAGTACGTTAATACTTACAGTATTTTCTTCTCCCTTTTTCTTAAAGCTTTAAAAAAAGCTGGGGCTGTGGGACAGAGAGAACTGCTAAAGAAAAAGCTGCGTACAACGTGCTGAAGGCAGAAATGAAGAAATTAGGCCCTATCTCTTATGCTGAATTCAATGTCCTCCTAATGTTTGTTTTGCTGGTTCTCTTGTGGTTTTCCAGACACCCAGGCTTTGTAAAAGGCTGGGCCACCAGGCTCTTCCCAGAAGGAGAAAAGTAAGTTTTTAGGGTTTTTTTCATCCTGTACCCTCTTGGTTGTGAATGAGATTCCCTTGCTCTTACATTCCATTTTGAGTGTGGGGTCATTCGTTCCAACCTTATCTGAATTCACGTTTGCTGGGCTTGATCCTATCACTTGTGCGTGGGATCACCAATTGATCTATTGTTTGACAGTTTGTACTGCAATGAGGGCTGGAGACTGGGACGTGGAGCAAGCTGAACCTCCTAAAGGAAGAGCAAATTCTGTAATGCTGGTCTCAGTCACACTGATGTACACATGAGTATTTTTTTTGTATGAGCTCAAATCAGTTGCGGTGTCATTTGAATATATGGTAATATCACCTCTAAACAATAGCTTAAAACTCACTGGGAAATTGATTTGGTGCTTTGAATGGTTTCTTCGCATAATGTCTGTGGCATATTAAGGACGTAAAATGCACGATGGGACTATCACTCAGGCCATTTCTTTACACATCTTTCTTTGAGATAAAGCTGTTGAATCTTGGCCTCACCACAGAGGAAGTACCCTGCTCCCAGGAGCCGTTGTCATCTGTGACTTTGGTTATTAATGTCTATTGTAGCTAGTTTCTTTTATTACTGTGTTTGTGTTGTGGCAGGTCTGAGAGACCTCAGTCATGAACTAACGACCCATTGTGCTAATGTACAAGCCCCAAAGAGGGTGACAAAGAGCAGTGACTGCAATGCTGGAAGGCAGCCATCTTCTAGGAGAAAGGTGTCAATTTTGTGAGCTATATTCTCTTTTCTTCTTTAGGTATATCACTGATTCTGCTCCTGCTGTGTTTATTGCCCTGCTACTGTTTATCCTCCCTGCTAATAAACCCAAATTCATAGGCTGGAATCCAAGCATGTCTGACCCTGAACAGACTGAAGAAGGTATTTAAAAGAGGAATTGTAATGTTGTAAAACAGTTGGCCAGCTCCAGCTAACATGGCAGAAACATATACTGGATTTGCATGCAGTTCTTCGGGGTAGCTCACCTCCCTCACTTCTTGGGCAGGGCTGGGGCACGGTCCCGGCTCAGGTGTACTACCCTCACCCTGTGCAGGTTTCTCAGTAATATGCGTCTGCCTGTTGAGTTTTTCCCTAGTGTCTTATAGAACAGGAGACAAAATGTCTTCGCTCTCCTAAAACATGTTCTGCTTTTCATTTCTCACTTCAGATATAAAAAAGCCATTTTTATCAGCCCCGCTGCTAGACTGGAATGTGGTTCAGAGGAAGATGCCCTGGAGCATTGTGCTGCTGCTGGGAGGAGGTTTTGCTTTGGCTGATGCAAGCGCAGTATGTCCTGACATCTGTTTTTCTCTGACTCAAAGGCGAACTTCCCTGGTTTGTTATCTAGTCCCGTATTACTGGGCATGCACCCAAAGCCAAACCCAGTAGAGATGTTCAGATCTGGAGGCAGATCCAAATTAGCAAAAATTGGGAGGAGAGGTGAATGTTTGTGCCTCTTTTTCAGGAATTTGTGTGCTCTGACCAAGTTTCTTCAATTTATCTTACCTTTTGGAGGCTGCCGAGTAGTTTGGGATCTTCACTGGCTGGACGGACCAGAAAAGCATCCCTTCTTGTTTCTGTTATCATCCCAATCCCAGCCCTGGCTAGAAAAATAGAAGTGTAGATCACAGAATCATAGAACCATAGAACAGTTTGGGTTGGAAGGGACCTTAAAGATCGTCTGGTTCCAACCCCCCTGCCATGGGCAGGGGCACCCTCCACAACACTTGTAGATAATACTCGTAACATTTTCAGAACCATTTGAAATTTGTTTAAAGGATATACGTCTTCAGATTTAAGCCAAACCACTACTGAAGTGGTCAGGAAGAAAATCGTTGTGGGTAGGTATCTTCCACAATTGTGTGCAGTGGGGTTTCTTGAACTTCTTGTCAGTGGCTGTTGCCAGGCAATATGCATTCCATAAGCCCATGGTTTGATCCTGCGTTCATAAATTTACAGAAAAGACAGCTGAATTCCCAAAACAGGAATCTTGAGGTGAACCATATTGTTTCCTTCATCACTGCTAAGATGCATCTAAATCAAAGCAAGCCTTAGCTATCAACAGTGCCATGCTTTGGGGAAATTCATATTCAGATCTAAATTTTGTGGCTAGGTAGTTTTAAACCATGGGGCAAATTAAAGCTCTAGTGCCTTACATTCATCTGTATACATCATCCATACATTATTAAAGCTCCAGAGCATTAGGCGCCGTCAAGTCAAAGGTTTTGTAAGCTGAGTCGATCACTGCCTATGTTGCTACAACAGAGCATTCACACAGCATCAGTATCTTCAGAAACCCTAGCAAAACATGCCAGGAAACCTCTGAGTGACACATGAAGTATGTGCACTAGTCCCAGCAATAATTGTTTCTGTTCAGCAAAAAACTGTAATTTTGTAACCAAAGCGTGAGCAAGTATTTGGGTTCCAGAAAAATCAAGAAAGTGGGACTCAGTATTATGTCTAGTTGGCAAGGAATTTCTTTTAGTGTTTGTGACAGATCATTGTACTTTCCTGGATAGTGTTTCTATAATTCAGGAGTCATTTAGCCTTATTTGGTAGGAATATTACACTTAACCTGAGTTCCCTGTTCGTGAGCTAGGAGTTCGAAGCCTCACTGAAAAACACTTTTTTTTTTTCTTCTCAGAATTCTGGGCTCTCAGCTTGGCTGGGTCATCAAATGACTCCACTAGCATCTATCCCACCGTGGGCCATTGCAACAGTGCTTTCGCTTATTATAGCTGTCTTCACTGAATGCACCAGTAACGTGGCCACAGCCACCCTCTTCCTGCCTGTCTTTTCATCCATGGTAAGATTACTTCCACCCTGTTATCCTATCAGCTGGGAGATCAGAGTTAAACTGGCAGTCTCTAGTGGCAAAGCAATGTCATATTTATTGTCTTGAATGTTGCTCCAATGTTAATCTGAAAGCCAGTAATGAAACAGTCCATCTGACAGTATACCATAATGGATGGTGATTTTAGATCGTGTTCGCTGCCACGTTTATAGCATCATATGCAGCTAGAAAGTGGGAATGCAAACTTTCTCCACTCTGCCCTACCTATGTGCCTGAACCCTGAGAATAAGCTTCTTGGGGGAAGAAGCTAATTCAGGGTGCCTGTCCCACGGCACCCTCACTGACAAGGAAACCAGTTCAAGGCTTCTGTAAGGTGTGTCCCTTGGCCCTGGGGAAAGTGAAGTGAGAGTCACTTTTTTAACACAGATCAACAAACATAAGTTACTTCTGGTCATTTTGTATTTGACCCACCAATTCAGAACTGGAAAAACACACACAACAGCCAAACCAAACCAAAATCCAGCACTTTCTATTCATCCCTTTGAATGAGTCCTTCGTCTTCATGGGTTTATGCTAGAATACAGAAAGTGGTAGGCCTGATTATTGGAAATGTGTCATTTTTCATAGGAAGCCAGAACAATTTTAAAGCTTACGGAGGAACACCTGATAAGTTTTGCTGCCTTTTCTGAGCAGAATTGAAATTGTAGCATAAAGGAAAAAATAGGTTACTTTGTTCTTTAATTTGGAAAGTACAGCTGCTTTATTCTAGACCATTTCATCAAAGTAGAATTATCCCAATCAAGGTGCTGAGCTATTAGTGACTTAAATTGGCACTTAAGTTCTGAGTCCCACAGAGTTTATGTAATCTCTAAGAGTTACTCCACATGGCTAGTAATTATATTCCCATCCCTGTGTTACCCTGGCAAAAGTGTGGTCCAAGGTCAAAGAAAAGATTGTTGGATAAATTTGACCAGAACTCCAAATTATACCATAGAGCAAAACAAACAACAAGAAAGAATCAAGCGTTGTTTTTAAGTATTGTGGAACAGGAAACGAGAGCAAAGTTATCTTTAAGCATGTGCGGATTTCAGAATAAACTGCTTGTAAATCACTCTGGTGATAAAATGCCAGGGAACGAAATGAGCCTGTGTGTCTCAATGGTCTGGGAAAAGTTCTTTGTGCTTCTCTTTTGGAACACCTCCAGTGTGATCTTCTCTCCATTTCATTGCAGGCTGCATCTGTCAAGATCCATCCTTTGTATGTTATGCTGCCTGGTACTCTCAGTGCCTCCTTTGCCTTCATGCTACCTGTTGCAACACCGCCAAATGCGATAGTGTTTTCCTATGGCCACATCCGTGTTTTGGATATGGTAAGATGATAATTGCGTGGCCTCTTAGCTGAAGCTCTCCATTGCCTTTATCCTGAAATATGCTGAGAGTTTGATTTTCTTAGCCGAGTATTTCCAAAGTACCAGGAAGCTCTTATGGGCTGTAACTACCACCCTATGCCCCTCTCTTACACGGCGTTAATATCTCAATAAAGATTTGCATCTCTGAAGTAACAGTACCTTTCTCACAGGCTTTGGCAGACATACAGCCCAGCCCAATTGAAATTCAAAACTGACAAGTCATAAGTCGCTTAAACACTGAAGGGTTAAAATGCAGTCAGTGCTTTCCAGTCTTCTGGGGCTTTGGCGAGTGTAGCTGAAGCCTTGTTTCCGCCGGAGCTGAAAGCAGAAGGTAACAATCAGTTGCCCTAGGCTCTGGTCCTCTGATTGCCTGCCAGACCACGCAGTGCCAGGTTCTGTGCCGAACACCCAAACATTATCGGTTTTCTAACTGGAGACTTGAAGGGGGCAGAAGCTGTTCTTTAACTAATAAGAGCAACTTGTTGTACATGCCTTAAAGCTCCTAGACTAGTTATATAGCAAATTGTTCAAAGGCTTTGCACAGTGTGTTCCCTGGTATCTCCACCTAAGCAGGAACCTAGGGCAGAGGGTACCATGGCTATTTCTGTGATTTATTTGATCATGTGTCTTTCTTGTGTATATACAAACAGGCCTTGCTGCAATTTGCTCTGCTGGTGTTTGGTTATTGTTGTTGGTTTGGACTTTTGTCCTCACAGGTTAGATCTGGAATAGTGATGAACATCATTGGAGTCTTCTGTGTCACACTGGCCATCAACACATGGGGAAGACCTATGTTTGAGCTGGACACATTCCCAACCTGGGCAAACAGCACAACTAACCAGTGAACAGTGAAGACTTCACATGTTAAACAAGGAAAGGACCCTTAATACTACTCCCTGTTGCCCGAAGCCCTGTATAGAGTCTCATCACCACTTCAGATCGAGCGTCAAGCGTTTGCTACCTTCTGGGAGTCACACATCAGTTCAGGCAGGAACCAACTCAAATTTATTCCAGTCGTGCTGGAGCCAAAAGTGCTGTTTAATTACACAACCCTAAGGATCATGCGTCTGGATCATAAGTATGATCAAGTGATCCGTTGTACCTCCAATCAAGGTTGAGATTTACAATTTATCGAACTTTTAAATAAAGAGAGGGCAGGCTGTTGTATCAAGTGGTTTGAACTATCGTATCAGTGGTATGTACTTGTACATCATTAGCATTGAACGCTGCACTCAGGCAGGGGCTGAAAATTCATTAACTATTACTTGTATCCACAAGCCAGCAGCTGTACAGAGAAATCGCTGTTGTCACTTGCCTAGTGAAAGAAGGGGTATGTTATGTTATGTTATGTTACATTATGTTTTAATCAGGCCTCAGCCACGTGGTGGAATCCTTCCAAGTCAACATCCAACACATTTTCCATTGCCTTGTTTTCACTCCCAAATCTCACTGCATTTAGACACCCTTATGGAGGGTTGAGATAACGTAATTCCCTGCTGGTCATGATTCAGCTGATGTCTTGGGCAGTGATGAGTGAAGGCTGGCTTTGTGTTTCTTGCACTGTGGCACTGGCAGGGCCAGGAGCCTTTCCCTCTCTCGGCCACGGGATGTGGTTTCACATGCCAACCAGTGTTTTGTTAGTGCCAGCCTGGAAATGACTGGTGGCCTATAGGACTTCACACCAATTGTGAAAGTTCCTGGATTAGCCCCTTGATGTGCCTTATTAATTAACTCTGGAATTTTGGAGTGGAGACAAGGCATGAGAAAGGCTCTAATTGAAGGCCTTGTAAAAATTTAGGGCCCCAGATATGAGGGCTTCTGCTGGCTGACAGCAATGGGAGTTGTCTTGTGTACTTTGGAATTCAGGTCCCGTGAAAAAAGTGTTTTGTACCATCTGTTTATGTCAGTTCTGAAGCAGAAGTAGTCTACAGAAAGACTGGTGTTGGACTGGGTGTATTCTGTCAGTGGTACGTGGATGCTTTTCATTCGGCCCTGGAGATGCAGTCGGGTGGGACAGTGTGTTACCGTGCAGAGATCTGTGGGCGTGAGCTGAGTTCTGCTCCCAGACTTGCTGTGCAGCCTCACGCAAGTCAGTTCACCTCTTTTTGCCTCAGTTTCCCCTCCTGAAGAAGATGTCATGGTACCTATCTACCTCACAAGGGTGTTGTGAGGGCATAAGGGTCAAATTCTGCGTCCATGGTGATTCCCCACCTCATGATAAGGGGTGCAAGGTAGAAGTTATAGAATCATAGAATCAGAGAATGCTGGCCAGAGAATGCTGGCCAGAAGATCTGTCCTCTAGTATAGTGGTGCGTGTAGGATATTTAATAGTTTTGTTATTAACGTGAATGTTCTTTATCGAACTGGAAAAATATTCACATTTTTGCCTTTAAAAGTGAGGAAAGTATTTATCCACAAAATGACCAGGTGCTTTTCTGAGCAGAAAACTACTTCAAGAATGATTTGATTTTCGTGCCTTTATCTTCTGTGCTCTTTCAAGGTGCTGGGCACCATAAACCCTCCACTGGCTGTTGTTCCCGGGTGCCTCCAACGGCACCCCGTCTACCCAGCTGGCTGCACGTGGTGCAGCCTCACACCTCTTCCGTGGAATGGTGGAGCACGTGGATTAACACCGTTCCACTTGCAGAGCCTGTCCAAGGAAGATGCCCGTTCAAGTGCCAAGAAGTGGTTGGTCACAGACATTTGTCACCACCTGAAGCTTATCACAGTATTTGATTGAAGAAATTGAAACCAGGAACAGTTAAGCACCTTCTGTGCGTTGGCAGTCACCACTTAATGCTGATTTGCATCTGTAAGTATCTAAACGCATTTGAGAAAGAGACTTTTTCTGCCTTCTGATGGACTTCACAGTATGAGGACATTTCACCGCTGCCAGGTGCTTCGTGGTGCTTGCTCTTCACTGTTGCAAGTAACATACGGCGGAGCTTGCACGGGCGGGTAACACGGAGCTCGCCTGTCTCAATTCATGCAGATCACAACTCCGCTAAAACTGGTTTCAGCTAAAAGCCGTAGGACAGACACTTCCCTGTCCTGCCTGCAGAAGGGAATGTTCTGGAAAAGTGCCCTCGTCTCAGCTAGGGAAAAGCTTCCCTCTGTTGCTGTGCGAGTAGAAAACAAATGTCATCTTCACCGCTGGTCGCACAGGGTGATTTATTGCCAGGAGTGCCGGGGCAGGGGGAGCGTGGTCTGGGGTAAGAGAGAATGCTGGTTTGGTTATAACTGGGGTGTATTTGATGTGTCACCTCTCTGTCCTGTTAATAGCAAATGTTTCTTTCTGAGAAACTTCTATGACGTCCTGTGATTGATTTGTATTTAATTTAAATGGGTGAGTTGCAGAATTAGAGCCTGGCAAATAAAAAATTCCTAGAAGTGTCTCCTCTCTGGCGTGGATTGTTTCCCGTGTAGCACAGTGGACCACTTGTTTCTCCATGAGCTTCCCCTGGAGCCCGGTATTGCTGCAGTAAGGCCCAGGAGGGTACACACCATAGAGAATCAGTGCAAAGCAGAGATTTGGATACTGCTTTAAGTACCTGCAGACCTACCCATCAGGGGTTCCTCCTCTCCCCTCAGCTAAGTGATAACACAAGTTTCCCTCTTTGAAAATGCTCAGGTGGGACCAGGCCAGGTGGCATACCCTACAAGCTGTCTCATTCATTTCAGAGTAAAAGATTCTAAGAATCTAAGAAACACAACTAGTTTTTGAGATTAATCTTGTACAAACTCTCCAGTATAACGGGCACAAACAGGCTTTTCTTCAGCGTCAAGCGTGCATGTCGTCCTGTTCCAGTGCCCTAAGTAAATACATGTTATTTACAATAGGTAAGGCAAGGACGATTGCTGTGTCACTGGAGCTGGGTCACATCCCCTTCCAGCAGCGCAGAAGTATCGTGATAGATACTCATCTTGCATGGCATTTATTTTTCTTCTCATCAAAGGGTTTTTGGTTTAGGTGCAAACGTTGTGATGGTCCTAAGGCAGTGGCGTAGGGGAATCCCTCTGAGCCCCACTTCACAGCGTGCCCCACCAGAGCCAGCAGAGAACACGGGAGGATCTTCAGCGTGGACTTTGTCGGGACGGGTTTAGCCAGCCAGACTGAACTAGCAGATGGTTCCTGCTTTATCACATGTGGGCAGGGACTCCTGGTGGCTAATGGGTGGCTAATGGGTGGCTAATGGGTATGTCAGCTCTCCCCCTGGCCTAACAGCAGACAGTGCTGCCTGTAAGGAGCTAAATTAATGCTTTCCTGTTTTCTGTTCACTCTCTATAGAATGTCCTGACTTTTCCTTTCTTCTCCCAGAACACCAAGTCGCTAATACTGTTTCTGCAAATGTTGACTGTCTCAAACCTGAAGAATCGTGATACGGGCTGCTGTTCTACAGGGTTTGCTCCTGGTGGTTCATGTGTCTGTGTGCAGATATTCCCACAAAGTACTGGCTGTTTGGGAACGGTTACATGCGTGTGCATGAGCTCACAAATGACTGAACTGCAGGAAACCATACAAAGGGAGGACAAAGGCATTTCGTGCCTGTGTGTTGAACATGTCGATCTGTGGAATGGAGAAGAAAAACCTTTCAGCATTCGCTATATGATCTAGAAGTCACCAAGCTGAAAAAAGCACCCAGACAGAAATAGACTCAAGCTTAACGTGGATGCAAAAGTCGTCCCCTCTTCTCTTAAGTACAAGTATCTTCTTCCTCGGCCGACTGTAGAGCTCTGCCTGAGCCCCGCGTTTGAAGCAGGGCTATGTTCTGCAGGTCACCCCTTGGGCTGGTGTCATGCAATGGGTTCAGAGTAGCGGGGGCTTCATTCTGGCTGAGTTCTGATCTCACTTGAATGCAGTCTTTGGTTTATTCAGCCTTTGTTTTCCAGCTCAGGTGCATTACCACTTGAAAGAGCAGTAACCTGGTTGTAGCCAAAAAAACATCTGCTGACAATGTGTTGGAATTGGACAATTGGCAAAAATTAGCCCAGAAAAAAAATAGATCACTGCATTAGTCCTAACCAAAATCCAGCAGTGATTCCTTAACACAAAAGCACCTCTTTTGTTTTAGTAATGACATATCGTATACATTTTTACATACTGCACATCTTTTGTTTCCCTAAATGCCTGTGCTAAATACGGAAAGAAGCGGGTAGTAACAGATCCCGAACACTTGGATCAAGTGACGGACAGTTTTCACAATGTTTGCCCAGTGCAGGCAAATAAACACGTGGCTTCACGGCGCTCGGTCACGTCACTGTGAGGTCTCCAACACGTTCGTGCATTGCAGCAGAATCCCGGCAGCCCATTTCTGGGCACTTCCAGGCTTGGCGTTCGTCTGCGTGATTTCCCGGCAGGGTGCTGCTTTTCCTCGGTCCGTAAGAACCATCCCCATGGCAGCTCTCCTCCCTCAGATCACACCCGGGCTTTTATCTGTGCTGGCCCCTTTGCGAGGAGTCCGTAGGGTAGAGGGCTCTGCATGCGCTACAGACGGCGTCTGCTTTGCAAGACGAGACTGAAGGTGTCCTGTCCCTGAGCAGAGCCTGGAACCTCCCGGGGCCTGACGGTCGTGCACAGCTGTCAGCTCCACAGAAGGGATTGCAGAATCCCACAGCCTGACAGTGCCAGTTGCTACAGGTGAACATTAATGGCGAAACCAGCACAATGAATAATAATGTTGTTATCCAAAGCCTAAAAGTAGTTTCTTAGGAAACTAGTCTTATAACAGAGTTTCATTTAAATAACCATGATAGAAAAGGGGAGAAATTTGTCAAAAATTGGTCTTGCAGAGGAGGGTGCTAGTTTTACTCTTTTATTCATTACTGAGATTCACTCTTTACTAAGATTTTGATTCTAACATTTCCTGTATAACTCTGTTACTGCCCAGTTTGAGTTCTTAGGGATAGATTTTATACCTCCTCTCGTCTTACTTCAGATCCTGCCAAGATTTTTCACCTGCAAAACTGGCAGGAGGCTCTTTCATGGGCATTCATCCGGACAGCCATTAAACTCCAGCTTCTGCTATCAACAGAACACTCAAGGAAGAAACAAGAAAGTTCCTAGAAGGTTGATGATCATTTTTTGAAGACTTGTATCTAGATAGTGGTTCCCTAAAGTTCGCTTAAAGATTTTCTGGACTCAGCATTTTACACCACTGTCTTGCA